AATCCCATGATAGACGCATCATAGTAGACCATAAAATCCTCAAACACCTCTGGCAAGGTCAAAATTGGCGCCTCGCATAACCTCTGTCTCAGAGTCTCAAACGTTGCCTGCTGCTCAGGCTCCAAACGGAAAGTGACAGTCTTCTTCGTTAGTTGGGTCAGAGGAACTGCTACCTTGGAGAAATCCTATATAAATCTTTGGTAATATCCAGCTAAACCAAGGAAACTTCAAATATCGGATGGAGACCTCGGAACTTCCCACCTCATCACGGCGTCCACCTTGGCCGAATCGACCAGAATATTATCCTGGTTGACCAGGTGCCCCAAAAACTACACCTCGTGCAACCAGAACTCACACTTAGAGAACTTCACATACATCCTTGCCCTCCTTAGGGTCTCCAAAACCTCTCGCAAGTGCTTCTTAGGTTGTTCCTGGGTCTTGGAATAGACCAGGATGTCATCAATGAATACAATCACGGACCGATCCAACATCGGTCCACACACATGGTTCATGAGGTCCATGAACGCAGATGGAGCATTGGTGAGCATGGAGGGTATCACCACGAACTCGTAATGAACATAGCAAGTCTGGAAGGCCATCTTCTACACATCGTCCTCTCTGACCCTCATCTAATGATAACTCGAACGCAGATCAATCTTGGAAAACCAAGACATACCCTGAAGCTGGTCAAATAAATCATCAATACTGGAGAGTGGATAACGGTTCTTTATTGTTAGCTTATTCAACTCCCAGTAGTCAATACATATCTGATGCGATCAGTCCTTCTTCTTCACAAACAGGATCAGTGCACCCCAAGGCGAACTACTCATATGGTTGAATCCCTTGTCTAACAACCCCTACAACTATGTAGACAACTCCTTCATCTCTGCTAGAGCCAATCGATATGGTGCCTCTCTGGAGGCACTCCTGGCTAATCCTCCGGAAACACACCCGGATACTCCCACACCAACGTCACATCATCAACCGTCGCCCTACCTTACTCTCGAGTATCCATAACATAGACAACAAACCCAAAACAACCTTGATGGAGATATCGTCTGGTCCTAGCGGCTGAGCACTCTCTCCATGGACAACCAACCCTCCCCCACTTGGGGTCCGAACACGTACCAGATGATGCTCACAATCAATCATTTCCCCATTGGATCTCAACCAATCCATCCCCACTATAACCTAGTTCCCGCATAGAGGAATGGGAAGTTAGGAACCAAGTCAATCGGAGACCGCTCGCTAAGCATCCCCAAAACACAATCATGATGAACCCTCGATGCCTGGCAAATCGATCAGCCGCAATCTCAACATCTAATGGATGATCCAGCTCACTCGGAGATCCCGAAAACCTCTTGTAGAGCGCAAGAAATACGAAAAATCGGGTAGCCCGCGAATCAAATAATACCAAAGCGGGGATACCGTTCACAAGAAACAATCCTAAAACAAAACACATAAAAAGATATAAGCAACAAAATCAACATGAATAAAGAGTTAAGAAGAAGAGACATACCCGTTACCACATCTGGTGCAACACGCGTCTCCTCGGCGGTCAATTGAGAAGCCCGACTCCTCAACACAAGAGCATCTGCCTTGCCTTGGCGACCATCTGTGATCCGTAGGGTCGCAGGGGTTGGTGCTACCACTGGTCCTCCTTATGCTAAACTCTGATAGTTAACATTCTTGTGGCCCCTCTGATTGCAATGAAAGAGAATCAGGTTTGATGTCTTTATAGTGGTGATTGAAACAGTACAATCCTTACTAAAGTGTGATGACTTGTCGCACTTGTAGCAACATAGGTTAATAAGGGAAACATATATTTTTCTTTTTCTTATTCTTTTTTATATTTAAAATGATATATAAAAAGTTAGAAATTAAAAAAATTATATATATTAAGGTCAAAATGGTCCTTTTACATCAATCAGAGACCAATGATACAACAAAATTAAATTATAGGGACGGTCCGAATTAAAAAAATAAATAAATTAGGAACCATTCGTGTAATTTATTGAAGTTCTTATCAACTTCATTGCCGAAAATGTACATTCTACACTTGTTGTTGCAACGCGGAAGATTAATTCAAGTTTCAAGAAAATATAAACATTGGTTTTTGTATCTATGTAACTATGTAAGACATATGTAGCTATGTATGACATATTTCGCCTTTGTCAACTTTTGTGTCAATGTTACAAGACAAAAAAAAAAAACTTTATGTATCAATTTAACTATTTAATACATTCTATCACAACTATCATCCTATCACAAAACATTGAAACAACAATCACAAATTCTCAAATTCACAATTCTATATCAGCATATCATTGTATCAGTATTAAAAAAATGTTTTTTGTATCAAATTCACAATTATGTATGACTGTATTAATATGAATTCTACAACTCAAATATTTGATAGTCTAAGACAAACGAAAAAAACTTGGAGGTCATAGGACACTCTGTATCTCGAAGTCTAACTGTAGAGTGGCATGGTTGGAATCGTGGACTGTGGAATGGAGATCAATTGATTGATCTTCAACAATTAGGCTTGAGGTGATGCAATAGCACAATTCCCTCATTGTCGTGTAGTCACAAACTGCAAAGTAGGTTAAAGCGTATATAACTCTTGGGTTAGACATTTCGATTCTTTCGCACCGATTTGTTTTATTATTTTCTCTTTTTTATTTATTTATTTATTTTTTTGCTTAATATTGTATAGGAATGACTATTTCCTATTTCCATGTTGGGTTATATTCGTAGATTGGATTTGAGATTGGAATTTTTTTTTGTCACACAATGTAATAGGTCTTTAAAATTTTTGAAGGTAGGTAATTAATTTTTCATATATAATTTTGTACGAAAATTTAGAAAATAAGTTGGTTCCTCTGACCCACCTAAGCAATACATGAATTCGCCCCTTCTCATATCTCTCGTTTGTTAATAAAAAAACATGTGTTTTGCTGAATCCTAAGTGACCATTTATCATTAGGATATCAATGGATTTCGTACGTAGAAAGATTTGACCATGTATATGTTTATATGACTTAAGTAGGGAACGTGGCATGCTCATGTTAATGATATGAATCAAGGAACATGCGTCATCAAATGGTTCTCTATTCGAATATCAATATGGAGATTTGTCATCAAACCCATCGCGCAAAGTTGACCAAAATAGAGATGAAGATTTCTATTAGATTCTGATACAATATGGTTTGATTATATAATAACTCATGGTAATGAACTAGTGATTGAAGAATGAGCAAAAATACTTGGATGATTGTCATTCTCACAAATTTTTAATAGTTTTATGAACATTTTGGAATGTCATCCATTTTGCCACCACTGAATCAATTGGTCAGTATTATTGATAGAGTTATTTTTCAATTGTTTTTTTTTTTGGCTGTCTTCTAAAGGTTCATAAGGCAACAATAAATTCAAAAGAGTGCCTTAGAATCCAACTAAAATTATTTTTATGTTGTAATTTTATCCTGTTTGTTAACTTTTGACTCTGTAACTCAACCATTCAATAAAATTAAAAGAGTAAAACACCGTTGAAACAAACATACATGTTTCATAATTGCAAAACTTTTTGAAAGACATATTAGGGCGCGCATTTGTAATATCCATCACGATGGTCTCTGTGGTCTTGGTGGCTACGAACCACAGCCGTACACACCATCCTGGTGCCTCATTGTGGGTCGTGGTCGTGGGTCATAGTCGTCGGCCATTGCCCATTGTTGTGCCTTCCACAAACGAGAACGACAAATCAAGTCTCAACTTTCTTCTTCTCTCTTAGGCGTCAACCTTCTTCTTCTTCTTCTTCTCTCTCTCTCTCTCTCTCTCTCTCTCTCTCTCTCTCTCTCTCTCTTCTTCGGCGTGGAGAGAACTCCATGGAATCGGGGTGTGGCTAGTGGTGGTTGATCTGAAAGCTCTACACGACTATTGTCGTTGAGAGTATTGTAGATAGCCTTACACATATATTGTGGCCATTCCAAGAAAAAAAAACGAAGTAACTTCTCCAAATCCAAGAATACTTCAATTGTTATTATTATTATTATTATTATTATTATTATTATTATTATTGCATGTTTGTCTCATGTTTAGAAGATGATGATACAAATTAAATTTGTAGCAGTTATGAGAGAGAGAGAGAGAGAGGTTCTAACCACAACGGTTATTCTATGATAGTGGAATGTTCCGAATTTGATGATGGACAACTTAACACCACCGCATACGTTACAGTTATAATATTCCGTCCTGCCTAATATTAGTTACTTTTTGTTATGAAAATACGGTCAAAATTTGCAACATACTTTGTTATATCCCCCGTAAAACATGTTTTTTTTTTTTTCAAAATTAGTTCATATTAAAATTAGCCCTTTCTTATAAAAAGTTTACATTACCCATGGAAAACCAACACTAGAAATACAAACACAAGCTTCAAATCTATCATAAAAATATCCAAATCATTCCACAAACCCATTCACTTTTCTATATACATTTCGGTGTCTTATTAGCAAGGGACATGGGTGCAATCACTTTTCTAATATCTATGATCTCGATTGATTTAACCTCTTATAAATCTTCAATCAAATCATTCACTTTTCTCCCTTTGACATTGAAAATGCCAAATGTATAGATGTGCTTCATTATATATAATTCGAGAAATTCGATTATTAGTTAATATGCTAATCGTAAAAATAAGTACATTTTTTAATAGTTAGCAGATTAAAAAAAATGTCATGAGAATACTTGAATTTGCCAAAAAAAAAAAAAGAATAAAAAAATAAAGTAATATATGGGACTCTAAAATAAATGGTTCATTAATGTCCAGGGAGCTAAAATGTACAATAGTAAATGTTTGCGGATATAATTGGGAGAATCAAATAACATGAGGCTTTCATTGCAAATATAAAAAACCAAAGTCCTCCGAACCCTTTATCATTGATATGCTAATCTTTATAAAAGTTATGAGATCTTTCACTTCTCCACATCTCAAA